TTTTGTTTTTTTTTTTTTTTTTTTTTTTTTATTTTTTTTTTTTTTTTTTTTTTTTTTTTTTTTTTTTTTTTTTTTTTTTTTTTGTGGGGGAGAAGTGGAGAACAATAGGGCTTCCCCTAAAATTAAGGGGTGGGTAAAAGGGGGAAGAGATAAGTTTCTCAGGATAACTGAAAAACTACCTACTTAGCTCCAGTTTCACAAAAAACGAAAGTCAGTTCCCTGGCTTAGTTGACTAGGATTTCCATGAGAGTGCTGTTACACTGCTCCATGTAACCTTGGTAATTAAGTTCTTAGCCAGGGAACCTGACTTAAGTTTTTTGTGAAAACGGGACCTGCTTCTTACCTGAAAACATTCTGAAACTCCATCTCGCCAGTTTGAACCAGGTAGGCACCGAAGCTAAAGGCTGCGGCGTATGCAAAGAAGATGATACACTGGGAAAAGGCATACGTAACCCCTGACACGTGACTGTTGCGACGTCCAGATCTGAAAAATTGAAATAAATGTATTAAATTTATTTGAAACATATCCCCATTAAATACCAAAATTTGGGAATTTTTTTTCACTACAACACTGTTAAAGTCTGTAATAATGTGGGTAAAAAAATCACTTAAGCATAACAAAGAGAGAAAAAGGTGCCTTGTTACAGCATAACTGATACATTTAAAATTCATATTCAAGGAAAATTAGTATTGACCAGAGACTTGTTACTTGAACTTACTGGTAAACCTCTACAAAATGGCCACTGTATTTGTCTGCGAAATGCTTCTCCTTCGTCAATGCTGCTACTGTACGCATGTTCTCAATGGCTTCAATAGCAATCTGAAAACAGCATCTCCAGATGAAGTAGGCAAAGTTCAAAATATAGATATATAAAAATGTGCCTAAAAACCAATTTATACATGTACTTAATTATGTTTAAAATTTTAGTCTCTCTCTATCACACACACACACACACACTCACACACACACATACAAACACACACAAACACAGACTGACAAACATGCACACATTTAACCATTACAATTCTCCTGTCCTCACTCCTTTCTCAATGCCCTCCTTTTATTCAACCCCCTCTCTCTCCTTCTCTCTGTCCCTCTCTCCCTTCCTCCCTTCTCCTCTCTCTCTCCCTGCACTGCTCCTACCTTCCCTCCCTCCACCAGTGCCACCTGGTCCCCTCTGCTGTGCCCCATGAGCAGCCTCATCTGGATCAACCCAGCGGCCACCATGATGGGCAAGAAACCAATGATCACCAACGTCAACTTCCAGCCGAAGATGAAGGACATCACCACCGCCGTCCCCATGTTGGCTGTCGACTGGATCATGGTGGAGAGACGACTTCCTGTGGCGCCATTGACAGCTGAGGCGTCTGTTGCCAGACGTGCTGTCAATGCCCCGACTTGGTTGGTGGGTTCGTCAAACCATCCAATTTCCTGAAATAGAGAATCAAAAATAAAGCAGTTCAATTACGGCGATGATATTAATTTTACAGAGTGTCAAGATAGCGGCCAGATAAGGTGATATCTGCTGACCTTTAAATTACCTTTGTTAAACCTAACTTTTATCACTCCACATTCATGAATTTAATTATTTTGAAAGTTACGTAGTCAAGTTTCAAGTCAATAATTTTCACATAAACTCTGCTACAATTCTGTATTCACTGTCCAGTGATTCAACACAATATTCTGACAGTTTTCAAGATGTTCTGAATGTTTCATTTACGGCATGTTTTCACTCTTGGTCAACAGTTAACACTCACCTGTCTGAGCATGGACTCAAAGGCCATATGTCGCAGTCTCTTGGTCAGCCTCTCCCCTGAGATTCCAAACATGGTCCCCTGAAAAACAAGTTCATCAAATCATTTATGAAAAATTCAAATAAGATGATGATATCATAAAATTTGATCACAAGCAAATAAGAATTAATATTTGTGAAGTTACTTGTTGGATTGTCTCAAACTAAAATCTTAATTTCAACCCAACTTTTATAGATATATATCAATGACTTTATTTCCACCTTTGTACTCAGTATAACAATATAATGATGAATAATTATAATTATAAAGGGCATACTTACCTGAATAGTTTGAAAAGTTGCAGAGACTAATCCTACAGCAAAGATAAGACCACAGAACAGAGTCATACTGGCTGCCTGCTCCTCTGGGTCCACTATGGCAAACACCTGTGAGATGACAGAAATAGTATAGAAATATCTGCTTACTTCTAAACTGTCCTCACCTGTACTGTATTTATCTATTAATTTACTTAAAGGGATAATAACTCTTCGTATGAGATCTATACTTCACAATAAAAACANTATGCGTTTGACGCGTTTGACGCTGCCGCAAATTTATATTTTTTACGTCTACATGCACTGTCCAAACTCTTATCATGTCCAACTCAGACCTAAAAACTCAAATGACAAAATCATAGCAGGGTCTTACCTGATGTCGACATTTCACTCTAGATCTGGAATGAAAAAAATGGGGGGCGTCTCGATAGTCCGAAGGTTCATTGGTCCGAAAAGTGGTAACATTTTCGTCGATTTTTTAATCAAGGGTTCATTGGTCCGAAGGTTCATTGGTCCGAAAAGTGGTAACATTTTCGTCGATTTTTTAATCAAGGGTTCATTGGTCCGAAGGTTCTATAGTGAACATTCGGACCAATGAACCTTCGGACTATTGAACCTTCGGACTATCGCTACGGCCCCAAAGAAATGTACATGTCGGTCTAAACGATACAGAAACATTTAAAACTAAATTATCGAATTAAAATGCCGAATTTTTGTTCAGGGACGGGTCGAACAAATGATTCGTGAGTAGGTGAAAATTAATTAAGGGCTACTTTTGCCCCGAAGAAAATTTTTTGGCAAAAAAAACGTTAGAGTAGGCCTACCTTTAACCTTCTCACGAAATTTAAAACAAAAAAGAAAGAAGCTAGGTAAGTGTAAACACGAAAATACCTACGATTTCAAGAGAGATTGAAAAAATAGTTTCATTAATTTTAAAGGCCCTTTGAGCGTCAAACCTTCATTTATACAAAGTTTAATTTTCCTGGAGATTTCCACAAGCTCTCCTTGTTACTCAACAATAACCATTTGTAAAACTGTTCACAGAATTACTGTAGGCCCTAGGTAAAGCGATTTTTTTAATTCCCATTTTTTCTAGTCTGTTACTTTGGACATCGAGTTGAGAGCATATAGGCAGGTGAGCATAACTTGTGGCAGTAAAGACGAGGAAATTTGACCTGAGAACGGATTTATAGGTCGTAATATTATTAACAGGGGCCCTTGGGTATTTTCGTTACAGTGAAAGTTAAAGTGAAAGTCACTTTTTACTTTTCGAGATGCGTAGGCTATATAGGCCCTAGATCTATCTATTTAACGTTCATCATAAGCGTCATTCGTGAAACACCCCGTTCATGCTACTGGTGAATACGACTTTTTCATCCTCGTTCTTCCTGAAATGAAGTCATTACAATTTGGTGATTCGTGATTTTCAATGAAATGTGAATAAAGGTTTATTTAATGTGGATTGTGATTTAATGCCTTTATTTTCCGTGAGCTGTGATCACTACGCCCCCCTCCCATGGGACCCCCTCTTAACTTTTGCGGATAAGATGTAGGCCTACCTTGATGATTAAGATTACATTACATTAACTACCAGGATATAACCTCACCAAATAGGGGCATTAATAATAAAGGTCCATCGCGCAACGTATGCCTGTAAATATATTTGTAGGTAGATTGAAACGAAAATCCGAATTGGAAACGGACAAAAACAACAAAAAGTAAGATCCTCTTTTTTTCGCCCTTATCCGTCGTTTAGGCCTAAGCCTTTCTCGAACGCTGCTAGGGCCCATAGCCAGCAATTTCAAAGGGGGAGGGAGGTCTTTTTCTGAAAAAGTGGACCTTTTACGGTTTTACCATTAAACCCTCATGTACCTTCATGAAAATTTAGCCAGAGGGGACCTTTTCCCTGTAAAAAAAAAAAAAAGGGGGGGGGGGGGTACTTTCAAACCCCCTCCCTGCGGGCCTGCAGCAACAACAAAGCGATCGAACAAGTGCGTGGTCATTCTAGTTCTTACGAAGACTCCCATGGACTTTTATGGGTAGGCCTATATTCACACTGAATCACAGGGTCGCAAACAGCACCATATTGGTCAAACATTTAGAGCCAAACTGTTTTTTTTTTTTTTTAATTAGAATAAAAAATGGTAAAGGATTTAGGCCCTAAAACAGAGATCTAATTCAAGTTAAGAATTAGGTTGAGTAGGCCTAATGAATTACGGAAAGATTAAAATTACATTTTTAAGAAAATTTCGATCTTGCGGGTGAAACTTGAAACGACAAGAATCGGCAATAAAATATGAGCTGAAGAGGCGTACGTGTTGATCAGTAGTTGTCAACTAAATAGGTCTAATGTTGGCTAATTTTGATTATAAAAATGCTAAGGCCATCTCGGCAAAACCGAGTTATATCGTAAGATATAAAGTTATTGTTGTCACTAAAACTGGGACTTCTTGGCTAGTCCGTTCAACACACTGCCTATGGAAAACACAATTTTCTCGTAACAACCCGACACAATGTATCTCAACTACTGCAATCATTGCCACTTTCTTCGCATTTATAAAGATTACGATGGCTTTAAAATATACTACAAGCACCTTGAACACATAGTGTTATCACACAGGGTTTAAGAATGTTCTTGGTGTTGTAAAGACACTTCCCGTTGGAAGGTACATGTAGCTATGATCAACTGCATCAGTTTGACGAAGTAAATATGATTCGCAGCACATAGTGCATGTAGGGGACTGCGGAAATGGGTGGATTTTCCTAACTGAGCAAAAAAGGCACGATAGCTAACGTAGTCTTATGTCATCTGATTTCACCTTTTAGGTTGCAGAAAGAACAATTAACATGACTCAAATTAAGAGAAAAAAATCAACGAAAAATCTATACATGGAAATTATTTGGAATGTTTCCTGTTTTATTAACAAATGATCTTCTATATAAAGGTATTAATTAATATACATTGTATTTTCATCCGGACTCTTTTTACCAGTGGACAATCATTAAAAAATCATCATTATTTTCAGATAAGACAGTCAAGTTGGCACAGGGAGTGAACAGCAGTTACTAACATACGTAATGTACACAAAGCAGACCCATTGCCAGTAATTTCAAAAGGGGGGTTCTTTTTCTGAAAAAGTGGACCTTTTTCCATAAAAACTTCATGTACCTAGATCAAATTTTACCCAGAGTGGACCTTTTCCCAGCAAAAGGGGCGTTTCTTTCCACCACCACCCCTGGCTACGAGCCTGCAAAGAGACCACAAAGCTAGATAACCAGGGTTGCTGACAGTGCACATTGATACACCTTAATAAGCATGCCTACAAACAATGTGGAGGTGCTTTGTGTAAACTTAGCAAGCATTTGTGTGGGTGGGAATGGACATCTCTAATAAGTGTCACATTATAGGCCTATTGTGGTGACCTCTATTGTCAAACAATTGAACTATCTCTATGTACAGAGTGCTGATTGAAAAATAATTGAAAGATCAACAGTGCCCACTTTGTCATACACTAAACATGTTTAAAGCTACTCCCTGCTAATTATTTTGATTAGCCTCATGTACAAAAACAACATGTTAAGGACATTAAATAAGTTAATATAACAGAATACATAGTAAGCCTAAAAATAAAACAGATTAAAATTTCAATACTTTTTTTTACCTATTAGACATATTATTTCTACCTCAAAAGGTCATGCCTCAGTGGTTATAAATATTTGTTTTCATTAGAAATTATTCATTGTTTTACCATCTTATCAAACATAAACATAACATAAAAACATAACTATCAGTAAAATTATGCAAAATACACAACATAATAATTGATTATGAATCAAGGATCGGCTTCTTAATTAAGTTACTTTGTAATAATAAATATCAGTATAACTATGCAAGAACTGAACAAATTCTGAATCAATTACACAGTAGGCGACTTTTTACATCATGCAGTAGTTTTACTGGTTCTAACAGTCATAACTCTCAGGGAGGGGGGTATCCCTTTCGCAAGCCTCAAAGTACCAATCAAAATCACTCCAGTTAACTAGCCATGAAAAAGAGGTAATAAATTGTTAATACCTAAAACAGTAGCACAGACCCAAGGGTCCCCTGTGGAGTTAGTTCACACAAGCTTGGTCACTCTAGTACTAACTCATTCTGAACAGACCTCAAATCAGAACGGCTATGTTTAACAGTATATCCAGAATCAGCAGTATAAGTACAATGAGCAAAACTATCTTTGTCCATGCTATGTGCTAAAACATTAATATAAGAAAAACTATCACATTTTGTTAAGCAAGTGTTACTGAGAGTTACAGGTAACTTTTCTTCATGAAACATGACATTTTATATATAATCCACCTGACATGTGCTTGGAAGGTGATTTTTGCGTATGACAAAAAATACTTGTGAACCACCTGTCAGCAAAAACAGTAAGCACTGTTCATATTTGTTTTTGATATCGTCATAAATTGAATAGTTATGTATAGAATGTGAACAATATAAACACAATATATCATACTTCCAGACATTTCCAACTGCCAGTTTTCCAGACTTCAGACACTGTTGCTCAACTGTGTAATACTCCTTCAGTGTGAAAAAAAAAACATTCATAAAAGTAAAATAAAATACAAACACATTTATACAAAATGTAAGTTGAATGTAGGTTAATAAGTTAATTTTTACAAAATGGACAATTGCAACTCCATTTCGCTTTTCATTTTTTTTTCTTTGTTAAGTGTACAAACAGGTGCTTTCAAATTAGCAGTGAATTTCATGATTACTTTTAAGGTTGAAAAATATAAATAATGTTTTTTTGTTGTTGTTGTTGTTGTTTTTTTGGTTTTTTATTGTTCAGTGGTCAAGATTTAGTAATATATTTAACATCATCTCATACAAAGGGAACATAACAAAATATTCAGAAACATGCCCTGTCAGCTGTTCTTCCACCTGCCCCAGTCAGCTGATTACCAATTTCACCCTTCCTCAATATTTTCACTTTTGAGCTTTGTGTGAAGCATTGACTATGATCCATTCAAAGAAGTTTTGACATAAGTAAATCCAGCCAATCAGGACATCTTTAAATTATCCCTCATCGTCATGAAGGTGTAAGTTGCGGTCCAATCAAAGGGCCAGTGACAATAATAATATGAGCCAATCATATGTCCTTTTACAAAACTTTTATGAAAATGTCAGCTGCAAACCAATCTAAACACTTTACACAGCTGTTAATTTTCTTTTGAAAATATCTGTCATGATAGTGCCAACTGTACTGCTATCAAAATTAGAGATAGCAAATAATAGCTGATGCAGCCATCAAACCTTCAAGGTTTAAGGTCCTCTGTTCTTGTTAACATTCTTCCAAAAATAAATTGGGAAATCAAAAACTGGTTTCACAAGTCACTCTTCTAGTAGTTATTACCACTAAAACATACTACTGTGGCTGTCCTGTGAATGTATCAGATAGAATACGTGAAAACCTACCCCTGAGTTCCACCAATCAAATGTCACTTTAGTGAGGACGCTTGAAAGTGTCAGCTGTGTTCCAATCAAAATAAGTGTAACAAAATCCATTTGACAATAATTCACCAATCATGCATCATGAAAGTGAGGATCCTTATAAGTGTCAGCTGTGAACCAATCAAACCAGATGTAGCAAAATTAAGTGAGGATTCTTGAAAGTGTCAGCTGTGTTCCAATTAAAATAGATGTTACAAAATCCATTCAACAAATAGTTCAATTCCTTACATACAAAGGTATCACCCATCAAACTGTCTGCTCTGAGCCAAACAGCTGAGAGAAGAGAGACCAGAGCCACATATTCCAATCAGAGAACAGTTAACAAAACTTAATCATCCAATGGCATTCAAGCTTTCTGGACCTTCTTTGAAGCCATTTGCAGTTTGTAGTACATGGACTGCATGGCCATGAGTTCAGAGTGCGTGCCCTGTTCATGCACACGTCCACTGTGTATAACAGCTATTTGATCTGCATTCTGTATTGTGGACAGTCTGTGAGCAATCACTATACATGTTCTGCCCTCCTGGGCCTTGTCCAATGCCTCCTGTACAATCTGAAATAGTAAATAAAGGGTGATTTAATATTTTACGATACACAAACATGCATACATCTACATACCACCTCATATTCAACTTGAATTTGATGGAATACACAACCGTATGGTGTTATGAGAGAAAAAGAGAGAGAGAACGAGAGAATCAAAGGCAGAGGAAAAGGTGCTATTACTGTGGAGATAGGGAAGGCAGACTTGCAGAGAGTGTGAGAGAGATTCACAAACAATTCCATGTCCCACCTTTTCACTCTCCGTGTCCAGAGCTGATGTTGCCTCGTCCAGGAGCAGTATCTTAGGATTTCTGACCAGTGCCCTTGCAATGGCCACCCTCTGTTTCTGACCACCACTTAACTGGGCACCCTTGTCTCCCACATTGGTGTCATAACCCTAGAAATGGAAGACAGAGTCTGAATTTGAAACAGGGCTTTGCTCAGGATTGGGGTTACAGGCCGGCCAAAATTACCACCTGTAATTTTCTACAAAATTTCAGGGAGTCCAAGTATGTCTTAAGCCATCATATTTCCAAAAAAGCCCATAAGCCGTCCAGTTGTCTCTGAACATATAGGCCGTTCGGTGATGTGTCCAAATGACAGTTGGATGGTTTGCTGGGAAAACCCTTCATCAGACATATTCTTTGTATGTGAATTTTACAACTGGAGGCCAGATTTGAATGTGATGTGAATTTTATGATCTTAGGATTTAGGAAATTTCAACTCATCACCCACCTACTGTGATGCATGTATGACACGTAACAGATAAAAAACTTTAAACTACCTGTACATCAAGTAAATAGTACCTAAGTTTAAAATTAAAAAGTAAATGTCTTAAATTTCAAAGGACAGGATTAAATTTAACAGTACAGCATCAAGTCAAACTAGCTGGAATCATAAAAAAGGCTTCCTTATTTCTTTAAACAAGTATTCAATTAAAGTAACTGCTTTTAGTAAAAAAAAAAAATTGAAAAATGAAATTACACCCAACTGACCATTGGCAAAGAAGAAATGAAGTTGTGGATGTTGGCCGCTTTAGCAGCTTCTATAATTGCCTGCATGGGAACCTCTCTGGAGTTATCTCCGTACGCAATGTTCTGAGCGATGCTGGTGCCAAACAGCACAGGTTCCTGGGATACCAGGCCGAGCTGTCCCCTCAGCCACTGCAGGTTGAGATCCTTGGTGTTATATCCATCCAGGGTCTGAAACAGAACACAGTAAATATTTCAACATGAGAGCAAAAGAAACTTAAGTACATATTTAAAAGTATAATGCAGGTTTTTGCTCCTAAAGGGATCATAACCAATATATTACCTTATTGCAGAATACTGAAATACATGTATCTTTTTTCCTTCTGAAGAAGTCTTTATAGGGAAATCTAAATCTTCTTCCCTTTTTGAAAAAATCTGTTGGCAGATGTAGGATTTTTTTTACCCATGAACCTAATAGCTAAATTTCATGTTATTCATATTGGAAGATCTTGCCTTTCTTATCCCTTCCCTGAACCTATTAACTTAAAAAAACTTCTTTTTCGTACGTTATTCTTTCAAAATGCAACAAATTGAAATAATGTTTCATCAGTAATCAATTTTTATATTCAATTTATTGTATCAATAGGAACAAAATGAAACAATGTTTCATGATGCTCGTCAGCAAACAAAAATCATCTTCTGTAAGACATAGTAAGACATGTAGACATAGTAAGACACGTAGACATAGTAAGACAGATATACTGACCACTTGTCCCTCCACAGGGTCATAAAACCTCTCAATCAGCTGGATAGTGGTGCTCTTACCACACCCACTGGACCCCACCAGGGCCAGCGTTTGACCAGGTTTAAGGGTCAAATTAAGACCCCTGAGGACCTTCACCTCTGGACGTGTTGGGTACACGAAGCGAGCATCTTGGAAACGAACCTCACCAGATATGTTGGCCTGGAGACAAATAGAATATTATTATTTGTACTAGATTTATTTATCTATTTTAGTCACATATATTTGACATAAACTAACTAAACAACATATGGTCACTTCAATGCATACTTCTCTGTGCCCAAAAATGTCTTCACAACATTAAGTATAATAAAAATAAACGTAAAAATTATGTGACGGCTGCTTCAGTTTAAAATGAAAGAATGAATGAAACAGGCTTAAAATAAAATATCTTTCTTCAGTTCTATTTTAAAGACTCTCTTGGCTTCCAACGCTACCTTTCCTTTTCAACTTACCATGGTCTTTCCATCTTGGCAAGAAGAATCAATGGATGGTTCACGATCAAACAAAGCAAACAGTTTGGCAGCAGCTGTCTTGGCCTTGCTGTAGTCGGGGGCAAAACCAGACGCTCTTCCAACAGCCATGCCTCCAAATGTTATGGCACCAAAGATCCTGAGGGAAAAATATTCATAGAGTAAGGTAATAATTTAAATGTTTCATTAATGAATTTAGCAATAACAAGTTTTATTTTTATTTTTGCATTTATTATTATTATTTATTTTTCTTTCTTTTTCTTTTTGGTGGGAGGTAGTGGGAGAAATGGGAACCAATAGGGGTTCCTATGAAACTAAAGGGTGGGGGAAAGGGGAAGACATGATGAGTATCTCTGGGTAACTGAAAAACTACCTGCTTCTTACCTGAAAACATTCTGGAACTCCTGAGGGGAAATATTCTTTGAGTAAGGTAATAATTAATGAGTTATTGATGAATTTTGCAATACAAGGATGCTGTGTTTTTTTTGTTTGTTTGTTTGTTTTTGCTTTTTTTTTGGGGGGGGGGAAGTGGAGATCAATAGGGCTTCCTCTAAGATTAAGGGGTGGGGGGTAAAAGGGGGAAGAGATTAGTATCTTAGAATAACTGAAAAACTACCTACACAGCTCCAGTTTCACAAAAAACTTAAGTCAGTTCCCTGGCTTAGTTGACTAGGATTTCCATGACAGTGCTGTTACACTGCTCCTGATAGGGTAAGATGTGCCCATGTGACCATGTAACCTTGGTAATTAAGTTCTTAGCCAGGGAACCTGACTTACGTTTTTTGTGAAAACGGGACCTGCTTCTTACCTGAAAACATTCTGGAACTCCATCTCTCCCGTTTGAACCAAGTACGCACCGAAGCTAAAGGCTGCGGCGTATGCAAAGAAGATGATACACTGGGAAAAGGCATATGTTATCCCTGACACATGACTGTTGCGACGTCCAGATCTGAAAAATTGAGATAAATGTATTCAATGTACTTGGAACATATCCCCATTAAATACCAAAATTTGGGAATTTTTTTTCACTACAACACTGTAGAAGTCTGTAATAATGTGGGTAAAAAAAATCACTTAAGCATAACAAAGAGAGAAAAAGGTGCCTTGTTACAGCATAATTGATACATTTAAAATTCATATTCAAGGAAAATTAGTATTGACCAGAGACTTGTTACGTGAACTTACTGGTAAACCTCTACAAAATGGCCACTGTATTTGTCTGCGAAATGCTTCTCCTTCGTCAATGCTGCCACTGTACGCATGTTCTCAATGGCTTCAATAGCAATCTGAAAACAGCATCTCCAGATGAAGTAGGCAAAGTTCAAAATATAGATATATAAAAATGTGCCTAAAAACCAATTTATACATGTACTTAATTATGTTTAAAATTTTAGTCTCTCTCTATCACACACACACACACACACACACTTATCCATTACAATTCTCTTGTCCTCACTCCTTTCTCAATGCCCTCCTTTTCTTCACCCTCCTCTCTCTCCTTCTCTCTGTCCCTCTCTCTCACTCTGTCCCTCTCCCTTCCTCCCTTCTCCTCTCTCTCTCTCTGCACTCCTCCTACCTTCCCTCCCTCCACCAGTGCCACCTGGTCCCCTCTGCTGTGCCCCATGAGCAGCCTCATCTGGATCAACCCCGCTGCCACCATGATGGGCAAGAAACCAATGATCACCAGCGTCAACTTCCAGCCAAAGATGAAGGACATCACCACCGCTGTCCCCATGTTGGCTGTTGATTGGATCATCGTGGAGAGACGGCTTCCTGTGGCGCCATTGACAGCTGAGGCGTCTGTTGCCAGACGTGCTGTCAACGCACCGACTTGGTTGGTGGGTTCGTCAAACCATCCAATTTCCTGAAATAGAGAATCAAAAATAAAGCAGTTCAATTACAGCGATGATATTAATTTTATAGAGTGTCAAGATACCAGCCAGATCAGGTGATATCTACTGACCTTTAAATGACCTTTGTTAAACGTAACTTTTCTCACTCCACATTCATGAATTTAATTATTTTGAAAGTTAGTCAAGTTTCAAGTCAATAATTTTCACATAAATTCTGCTACAATTCTGTATTCACTGTCCAGTGATTCAACACAATATTCTGACAGTTTCAAGATATTCTGAATGTTTCATTTACGGCAATTTTTTCACTCTTGGTCAACAGTTAACACTGACCTGTCTGAGCATGGACTCAAAGGCCATATGTCGCAGTCTCTTGGTCAGCCTCTCCCCTGAGATTCCAAACATGGTCCCCTAAAAAACAAGTTCATCAAATCATTTATGAAAAATTCAAGTACACAAGAACTTGCAATAAGATGATGATATCATAAAATTTGATCACAAGCAAATAAGAATTAATATTTGTGAAGTTACTTGTTGGATTGTCTCAAACTAAATCTTAATTACAACCCAACATTTATAAAACTATATCAATGACTTAATTTCCACCTTCGTACTCAGTATAACAATATAATGATGAACAATTATAATAATCAAGGGCATACTTACCTGAATAGTTTGAAAAGTTGCAGAGACTAATCCTACAGCAAAGATAAGACCACAGAACAGAGTCATACTGGCTGCCTGCTCCTCTGGGTCCACTATGGCAAACACCTGTGAGATGACAGACATAGTATAGAAATATCTGCTTACTTCTAAACTGTCCTCACCTGTACTGTATTTATCTATTAATTTACTTAATTAACATATTAATCTTATTATTAATCATAGCAAATACTTTTACATGGTATCATAGTTTGTTAGTATACATGAATCTAACTGTCCATCCTCCCATCTATTTATCCGTTTTAGATCACTTTTACCCCAGTATTTTCTTTTTATCATGTGTGTATTATAATCAAAGTTTATTTATTTTAGATATAAATTTTTAAGATTCCCCGAGTATGCAATAGTATGACGAGATCAATTCAAACTTCTGACTATTACACCAAGTGACATATGCTTTAATATCATTTGTTATCAAAATATTTACTTTGAATGACAAATAAAACACACTTTTAAGATCTCTCCCATGAGAATGGCAAAGCAGGGATGGGCAGCCCCTGTGAAAATAGCACTAAAGCAACCAATCAGAATGAAGGGCCACTCAGGCGAATTAAGACGCATGATTCTCTTCAGTGATGGTTCAGGCAGTTTTTCTTCAATTTCTTTCTGAAAAAATAAACAAGCAAGCAATTTAAAATTTTTGACCTTATGACAATGAGCACTGGCTATAAATATAAATCATACATTTCTTTCTACACAAGTACCCGACAAAACAAACAAAGAATTTTTCTGGCAAAAACACATTAATTTTTTACCATTGTTCAACTTTATATAACTTATCATAAACTGACTGCCCAGGGGACTTGATTTATATGTGATTTATATCTGACAGAAGTAAAAAAAACTATTTAGTAAGTTTTCATCAAATAAAAAAAAATTTTTTTAAACATTTTAAAAGCCCACTGATGAATGAAACAAGGTAACAATGAAGCAACTCAAATTGGTTTTTAATAATAATAACTGAGTGTGACAATCAAATTATGAAATCATAAATCAGATGTATCAAACGGATATAAAATAAAAATCAAAAATATATTAATAATCTTTGATCTGTTTCGGCACTTGGACTGTCTCAGTGAAGTGATGTTCATCCTGGGTTTCAAGGGTTGATTTTCTTGGAAACATCAAAGGTATACTAATCACGGGGGTGAAATTTCAGTGACATCTGACAACGAGGTAAGTATCTTATAATTATGTGTTAATGCTTAAAACATTGTGAAACAAAAAAAATCTAAAAAGGAAAAAAATTGATAAGGACTGAGTGGGAACCCCAACTTTAAACCTCACCTTCTGACCCTGATTTTCCTAAAATATTTATTAAATTATATATAAAGTATAAGTTTTGAATTTTCCATAATATTAGTTTCAAGAAGGTACAGACACAAACAAGCACTGTCAAAAATGTGGACTAAATTCTTAATTATAAAGACAGCTATGAAGTCTAAATAGACGAAAATGATATTTTATCGCTTCATGATTTCTAGACACTTTTTGGATATTTATTTTTTATAAATATATATATTTTATATTTATATTATATATTTTATAAATATATTTTTATATTTATAACAACTTTATTAATATCAATATAACAAAATGAAACATATCTACCACACACAAAGCTTAATCACAGGAAATCTTGTCCACATCTTACCTCCAGCTTTTCCCGGTCTATCTCTTCTATGCGATGGGATTCTGCCGATGTCATACGACGAAAACTTGCACGTGATCCACCACTCTTATGACTGCGTACACTTCTGCGCGAGGACATACGCTGGATCAAGTGCCTTCCAAAGTCAGACAATGCGGATTCTTCCTCTTTACTCCCAGGTTTAAAGACGTATTCCTCCACCATCTCTTCCAGATCTGTAAATACAGCAATGGTAAAATGTCACTGTCTGACTCTAGTTACAACAGAACAAAAATAGTGAATTCAACTTGGTTTTATCCCTATATATTGCTAGAATTAAGGAAAAACACTATACCATTATTACATAGTGGTTTTGAGACAACTCTGACGGCTATTATAATGAAAATGTAGTCGACCTCAGAATATCAGAAACTTGTACTGACTAGTTATAAAATTTAGCACTCTAAAGAAAAATGAGTTAAATTTATCTCACTATAAAACATAAGAGTTCATGGCAATAGACATCACTGCCTGTCATATTATCGTTAAAACTGTACATTTTAAAAATAGGAATTGTAACCTCAGGGCCATAGCCTGAGATAAATGTGTGTGTGTGTGTGCATACGTGTGTGTGTGTGTGTGTGTGTGTGTGTGTATTTGTGTACATGTGTGTATGTTTGGGGGAAGAGCAACTGTGTAGGCAACGGCTTAGACAGATCTCCACACGGGAAAGATAAATGACGTAATTATAAAGGTGTCTGTAGCCTGTCCCAGTACAGTCTTTGGCTATGAACTATAAAGTAGTTTCAGTGATATATGAAATACCTATAAAACATTAAAGGGAAAGGGTAGGACCACTGTGTTTATAAAAAAAATTAAACAGCAAAACAACATTTCATCTACAATACACATCGGCATTGGAAAACACTTTCTATAATACAGGGAATTCTAGCTTTAGAAATGCAAAATACAAAAATAAGTAAGAAAATGATAAATAAATTCAGTCATTTAAAAAAATGGGTATGTCAACCATTTCCGGAGTAAGGTTAAATATAAGCTCCTGGCATTACTCAAATGCTTTGTAGCACCCTTTACCTAAAGCATTTTTTCTTCTAATTTGCTTTTCTTTTTAATTTGAGCCCATTTCACAATTTGAAAATACAATTCACATTCAACACCAAAGCAAGTGAGCAAAAAATAACTTCATTATTATTATTTTATCTTAAATTTTTCAGCACCATGTTTCGCTAAAGAACTTTAACTCAAAGTATCTCTTAACTACCCAGGATAGATCTGTAACAGTTCACTTATTAAAAAAAATAAACACTGCTGGTCTTTAACAAATATTTTCTTAGTTTTAAGTGAAGCTCCTGTCCTAATATGATTGTCTTTTAATGATCTACTACAGATGCATCCCAGGTCAAGATAAGAAAAATGTTCAGTTTAAAAACAAGACCAATTCCAACTTCTTACTGTAGTTATTTAGTGAAACAATGCCAGAATTTTCAACCCTGAAGCCTTTCACCACATGCCTTGCAATTCAATAATCAAACAATGCTGACATTTTTTAAAAATTTCTTAACTATATAAACCCTTTCACCACGTGCCTTGCAATACTATACAATAATCAAACAATGCTGCCTTTTTTGCCATTTTCTAAACTGAAAGCACCATATCTGCATTTCACACATTATACCTACATGCAGGGCAGAATGAACCATCCTTGTTTCCTTAAGAGTGGAAATAACCATGCAAATTATATTGTATTAAACATATATATATATATATATATATATACTTCTTTAATGGGCATCGAAAAAAAAAAACCCTAAAAACAAATGATATATAACAGAACCAACTAATAATAAGCAAGATAACAAATGTCAAGCAGATGAATAACTTATAAACAGACAAATGAAAACAGAAGGTGTGGGCTTCTGGAAACAGCAGGTTCATTTGGTGCATTGTCTGTAAAAAGGTGACATCGAAAAAGGGTGATGATGAGGGGTCAGGCTCACATAGCTATTATTAACATAATGGCCATCATTAGAGTGTCTTTTGCTTTATTCTCCTGTACAGATCTAGACACATAAAACAGGTTTGGCAAAGGAACCCTGTCACAAGAAACTGTTTAGCAACAAAGGGTTTGTGAAACTGACCCCGGCTTTTTGTAAATAAATACTAACAGTCATCGTACCATAACATACTGATATCCTTTTTTTTTTGTTTTCCTCAGACCCAAAGCAATCTTTGTAAAAACATGAAATAAGAAAAGCACTTGCCCTATCTCTTAACCCCCCACTCCATCAACAATATCACTCACACCATAAAGATGGCGCTAGTAGAGAAATAAGGCAGAGTGTCTGGTCTCTGATCATTGCTTTCATCCCTGTGGCTAGAGATCTATTATTGATGTTTGCTACATATCACCATACGGTCATTACCAGGTCACAAACATACTTCATTGAAATTTTTGATTATCTGTACAAACTTGTTCCTTCATGCAACAAAAAATATTTAACGTAATGACATCCAATAATATGGAATATTGAATTCTGGGTAATAACCACTGTCATGCAAACATATATATTCCTGCATGCAACGATACCAAAACGGGGTCTATAATCACAAAACATGCACACAATGGGTGATAATGTATTCATATGTGTGTGATAACATGCACCCATACGGCAATTTACTCACAATACGAGTGTCGGGGAATTTCCTGGGAAGAAAATGTGCTTGCATCATCCGAGCTGTCTACATAGAGATGTATATAACAATATCAGCCAGAATGTAGCAATAATGTGTTGTGTTATAAAATGTCCACAAAGAAAACTTACACTTACACTGCTGAAGTTGCCAAGAAAATATAAATATTTTACAAGTCAATAATTACAAATAAGCAAAGGAGAGAGAAATAACTGTTCAGTGGTCAGAGAAATTAATTCTTAAAAGGACAAATTGGCAAAAAGCTGGCATGCTACCATCAGCATACTATTTTCACAAGTAATGACTCAACCAGGGGGTGTAGCACCTCCAGAAAATACAGCAACTTTTTTAGCATTAACCAAAAGTTAAATTTCTCACATGAAATCTCCATGTAGATATACATCTACCTGATTACATTAATTTTTGGCTTTATCATTAATTAAAGATATTATTTATTGGGCAATTTAACATAATTTTGATGCAAGCTCTCAGTGAAACTGTGAACACATAGTAATATGTCCATGTCTAGTTACACTGGTCTTGGCGTCAAGTATCAAATTAACACTAGCATCATTCTTTACAATTAAAATTAAATTAATTTACAACTAAAAGAGCATCAGAAAACCATAAAGATATGTAAAACAAATGGAAATTAGTCATTAACTAAAATTAGAGAAATGAATTATTATTTCATAACAAATAAACTATAAAACTACCAAAAATATCAAACCTTGGCTGATATTTCTTAACTACTAAAAATACCAGTCAGCAATCCTGTTATATGACACACTATATCCTGAAGATATCATTCAAACTTATCAATCTACACATTTCAAAACATTAAAAAAATCGCACTATGATGAGAAGTAAGAGAGACATACCTTCTTCCTCTGACTCGTCTTCATCTTCCACTCGTGTCTGTAAACACAAATATTCACTTAAATACCTAAATATTCAATTATACTTAGAAAAATATGCTGATCAAAGTTATCAAGGTTTCATAGAATTGCCAAAACGTCCTGCCAGACAAACCTTAACTACATTGTTTACTAGCATATGGACAGCTTCTATACTGTATATTACAGAAATAATAGGCTATCAAATCACATGTAAAAACTATGCGGGAAATCTTTGATCATATCAAATTGTGTTTAAGGCTACTTGTATCTGTACCAGATATATTTCATAATATCAGTTATTAAATTGTATTAAAATATGAATTAAAATGTCAGTATTGTATCAACTACAATCCATACTTATGCCCAGTGGTGTACCTGTGAGGTGACCAGTTGAAAGTACAGCCCCCTGTGGTCCATGAGTTCATCGTGTGTACCTATTTCTACCACTTTGCCATCACCTATCCCCACAATGAGGTCAGCATTCTTGATAGTTGACAGGCGGTGAGCTATGATCAACGTTGTGCGACCTTCACTGGCCTGAATATAAATGTATCATAAGTACATATTATACTTCTTTTACTACTACAAATATTACCATTACATGGCTTAATTAACCTTCCCTCAACTAATGATATCCAGATGCATATTTAAGGGGTCATTACTTATTCTTCATATTTTCATAACCAGGCAGGCTACAGGCATAATGATGAAGAGAGAAGTAATTATGATTCATGTCACATATGCATTATCAATACAATTTAAGTGTGCATCTTCTTTCATGAATTGATATAAAATGGAATGTTTTTTCTGCCATTTGAATGTATTCCCCAGTTCAAATTTTTAAGCACTAAATTTATTCTACAGAGTCCTACCTCATTCAGCAGTCTCACCTTATCAAGTGCCGCCTGCACAATAGCCTCACTCTCATTATCCAATGCAGAAGTGGCTTCATCTAAAAGCAAGATTTTTGGGTTCCTCACCAATGCCCTGGCAATGGCAATTCTTTGTTTTTGCCCACCACTTAGCTGAGCTCCTCTCTCACCAACCTGTGTCTCGTATTTCTGTTTGTAAAATATCAGAAGATTAACAGTGAAAAAGTGCCATATTTATGTTTTCATCTAACAGCTACAACTATGTAATTTTTATTTCTAGCTAGACACCGTCACCTGAGAATGTTGCCACAGGAGAAGAGAGTCTTTGCAGAAAAAGTGCCAAATTCTAAAATAGTTTGCAGGACTGCCACATTATTACATTCATGTCCATTTTCTTTTGACTGAATTGTTTACACTGTATGAGATATTAAATAAAATGCTTTAACATGTATTTATCTATGAATTTTGAGGACAGAATGGTGGAAATGCTGAATTGTCCTCCATTCCTAAAATTTATTTTTGAGAATTGGTCTTTGATAAGGCTGAATTTGTACTCAACATTTATTTTCAAAAATATATCTTCTAAAAATTACTCTAAGCAGTGCATGTACACCTGCAATTCATGTGATGATTATGAAGAGAAAGAAGAAAATTTTACATGTTAAAGTGATGTTACACCTATCCCACAAGATGAATGGACTCATTTTATAAGACTTGCCTACAGAAACATGACTTAAAATTCCTGTCATTCTATAAAGAGGCACTTAAATTTTTTTGATTTAGGAAATTATGCTTATACCTGACACATTTCAGTAGGTAACTACCCCACAATCAAAAACATTCTCGACATTATCTCTGGTTAATTTGTTTAGAATTCTAAGGCAAAAAGGCACCCTAATCTGTTTGTCGAGTATTCACATAAATAAACCTAATAGTTCTTGTCACCATTGTAAGTGAACTCCAGTTCCAAACTTGACTGTCTTCTCACCTGCCAATGTGAGTACCAACCTGTGGTAAAGCCATGATGAAGTCATGAGCATTGGCTTCTCTTGCCGCCTGTTCTATCTCAGCATCAGTGGCGCCCTCTTTGCCAAAGCGGATATTTTCTCTGATGGTGGTAGCAAACAGCACTGGCTCTTGGGAGACCACCCCGATATTTTGGCGCAGCCATTTGACATTGAGAGAACGAACATCGCGGCCGTCTATCTTCACCTGTGGGTTGTAGGAGAAATATGTTTACATACATTTATGACATGACCAAAGTCAGGTACTCTTTTGCACATATCCCCAAAAAGTTTTATATTCTGACACACAAACATGCAAGCACCAACACACACCTTTCTTCTACTCCTTACAACAACCATAACACATAAATTAATATTTACAAGAAAACTAGTAAAGCACTTAGAGAATGCAGACCACCCTTAAGGCAGTTCAAATTTCATTATTGATTGATTACCTCGGCCAAGGAGGTTATGTTTTCACCCCTGTTGGTTTGTTTGTTTGTCTGTCATCAACATAACTCAAGAAGTTATGGACCAACTTTGATGAAATTTTCAGGAACTGTCAGAAGTGGGCCAAGGAACAGATGATTAGTTTTTGGTGGTGATCTGGATCAATAATCAATCAATAATCATTGTCATTCAATGGATCACCACTACGATGTAATCAATTCTTAGTTGACCCATTTCTGACCCACCTTGAAACTTTCATAAAAATCTGTCCATTATTTTTTCATATTGTAGCTAACAGACAACCAGACGGACACATGGAGCCAAACACATCATCTTGGCAGAGGTTATGGTACATATCACCAAACAACAAAATGTTAAAACAATATTACAGCTTTGACCTACAGACCTGCTTGGCTGCAGGTCAAAATGACAAATATAACCAATAAAAAAAAACACTCACTGCTCCTCTGATGGTGTCATAAAACCTCTGGATCAGCTGTACTGTGGTGCTCTTCCCACAACCAGAGGGCCCCACCAGTGCCACCGTCTGCCCAACATTGACCTTGAAGGAGAGACCTTTCAGAATCTGGAAACCACAATTACAATATATCATAAAAGTCACACAGTAAAGTTTATAGTCATTTTTCTCTCGAGTGATACCAGAAATAGTAAATAAACAATAAAGACATAATAAATCAAATTTCCTGTCACTTAACACTACAAATCATCAATAGTCCATACCACTTTAATTTGGTGAGGTCCGCAAAACATCATATTGACCTCAGTTAAAGTAAAAAAAAATGTAAAATATTACTGTAATATATTACTGCTAAGTCACTGACCTTTTGTAAAAAAATATGTACTAGGACCAATAATTTTTTTAATTTTTGGATGTAGCCATGAACTCACCTGGACGTCAGACCTGGAAGGATAGTGGAACCCAACGTTATCAAACTCCACATTTCCCTTGACATCCTCAGGCTTCAGGCCCTCCTCAGATCTACTGTCTATCTCTGGGACCTGAACATGGATAATCAATTACATAAATAAGTTTACAACAAATACCTCTTCAGTGAACCAGTGGCTTCGGTTTTTAATTTTGTTGGAGATAAGAATGGAGGATTTGAATATGAAGAGGCGGAGAAGTTGGAAAAAAATATGGTCAAGGTCTCTCTCACCTGGTCAATGATCTCGTACACTATGGCAGCGGCTGCCCTGGCGTTACCAAAGGACTCCAAGTTGGGGGCGGCGTGACCCAGGGACATGGACCCCATTAGGACACCAAAGAATACCTGCAAAGGAAATACAAAATGATACTTTTGAGTTAAATGATAATTTAAATTTGAGAAATGACAGCAACCCAATCTTGTACTTAAATAACAGACAGCCACGAATTAAAAAAAAAGTGCAACAAAATGGACTGCCCATCCGCACTGACCATTAGCAACTGTCCTCCAGAAAAACCCTCATTTCTGATCAGTGTCCCGCCGTAGTAGAAAGCCAGGGCAAAGGCGCTGAAGATGATGATCCAGATCATTCCCTGGCCCGCCCCTGAGATGATGCCTTTCTTGATCCCAACTTTCTGAGCCTCCTGGAGGTTAGCAGAGTACCTAGACAATACAATAGAGGGCATTAGCAGAGTACCTACACAAAACAATAGAGGGCGTTACTTCAAGGTGATCCAGGCAAAAATCATGTGATATGATAAATTAAACATATGTACCATCAAGGGTTTTGTATTTGCCTGGTGTTTTTCCCTTAAAACCCAAAACTAAATAATAAAAGACTACAAATGTAATGCTTTCATACTGATTACTAGTAACAATAGCAATATTTAATATGAGTTATTACTATTTTGACCCATGAAATTTGCCTCTAAATTGTCTCTAACAACTAGATTTCTCTGTACCTTTCCACTTCTTTCTTCTCTCCCCCGAATGCGGCCACAGTTCGTATGGCTCCCAGCACCTCCTCCGCTACTGCTCCCGCCATTGCATACGCCTTCAACTCTGTGGCAGTGAACTTACGCATGGACTGGAGTTTAAAATGAAGTATGTTACGTAATTCTTTGGTTGTTCTTTAATATCAAATCTTATAATATCAAAAGTGTAGACTCTGAATAATCCAGGTGTAGTTGTGATTAAGCAAGGGATGGAAATTAGACCACATACTGGACACTAATGAAGAAAAGTATATAAGCTTGCTACCACAAACTAGGTTAACTAACTAACTAGGTTAACTACCACTAACTAGGTTGACTGTTGTCATATGCCAGACTGCACTGACTGTCCACTGGTCCTATATGACACTGGACAGGTGTAAGTGACAAGATGAACATGGTGACGTGTTTCCAACTACACCTGCCTTGTTGACAAGACAATCCCAGCTTTTAGCCCAGAATATAACATATATACGGCTAATGCGTTGGAGTACACGTGTACATAAATGGGAATTTCTAATCATAATTTATTAATAGTACATGTTTATAGATATACTCACTATAGCCACAAAAGCCGAGGCCAAGATTAACAGTGGTGATATGGCAAGGATGACCAACGTTAGCTTCCAGCCCTCAACAAAACCAAGGACGTAGCCCGCAACGAAGGTCGTACTCCACTGGAGGAAGGTCGCCATTTTCTCCCCCATGCCAGCATGAATTTTGGAGATATCACTGAATACAAAAAATATTGTCTTGAAATGTAATATGTGGCTGTATAAAAGTCTGAGAAGCAAAGCAAATCTATTCATGGGATCATTGCTGCATTTTGACAAAGTTTTCAAAAAATATCAAAGAAAAAACACTGGAAAATTAAATTAAGGTTCATGCATTAAGGTACTAATATAAAGGCTTAATAATATCTCCTGACTGAACAAGTAGCATAACCAAATTTTTGTTATATGAAACTAATAATTAAAATTTTCAAAGTCACTACAATTACTTGAAGGAAAACTCTTTACAACTACTTCAAGCAAAGACTCTCTTTTCCCATTAATAAAAAAAACAAACACAGTTCCCCGTACTCTGATATCCTGGTATTCAGCTCCCCGACCTCGTGGGTATCAAACCACTGTATATCCTGTCTTAATATGGCATTGAAGAACAGCGTTCTTATCCTCCGAGTCTGACGTTCTGCCGTCCACGACCACGACATCACAGCGAGGTATCCACTTACCAACACCACGCTTGCCACGACGGCAAAAAATTTTGAAAAGAATACAATTTCCGTGAAGATGTCTCTTGTTGCTGTGTAGTTACTGAAACAAAGAGGGAACAAAAACTATATATAAATTACTGAATCAGATCCTAAAAAGGAAAAATTCACCCCAAACATTTCTACCAAAGATATCCCTGACTTTTTGGAGACAGTAAAATAATTTATGAGAAATATCAAAATTTAAATAACCTTTAATTGATATTTCAAAAATAATCACTAAAAAAAATCAAAAATATACAGACATCATATTTCCATTAATATAATATACTGTTACCTGAAATGTACACCTTTAATTGCTAAAAAATAATTGCACTTTTTCATACTTGACAAAATAAATCACTATAATGATCAATTATTCATCTTTGCAAAATTTTACTATCTTACTTGGAATCGACATTTCAGAAATATTTCAGCCATACCTAGTAGCATTCATATTCAGATTAATAGCGTCACTTATAAATAAATTGGCTACGTTTCCGTAGACCAGGATATTAACAGGAAACCCGCAGCCTATCACCATAGAGAACAGAGTCCCCACCAACATCAGCAACACGTCAAACTTGTCAGCAAAACGGTACTGAAAGTGTCAGGAAGAAGAACAATGAGTAAGCCTAATGGAGTGTTGCTGAAGGATATTCTTAAAAAATAAACAAAAATGGAAAATATCACAAAAAATATCACATCAAAATATTAAATAGCAAAAAAAAAAAAAAACATTTACATCTTCATCAAAACGTTATGTGAACACTTTTTTGGTAAGGAACACGGCGGTTGTTTGGTCAAGAAGAAAGTAATTACAGTATAATTGTTGCAAATGTCAAGATATTCCTTATAGTATTAGTACTAGTATTTTGTCTGCCACCACTCATTTCTGTTCATTACAAATTTTTGACGAACAATAGCTTCGTGGAAATACTACACATGTACTTACCAATTCAAAAAATCCAACTCGTTTTATTTCTTGTTTAGCAGGTTTCTCTTCTCCATCTTTTGGCTTTTTAAGCCAAAATTTCCTGTTTCAAAATTATTGATAACTTTAAACATCTTTTTCTGTGTGTTTATATTCCATACTTTTAAAAATTATGAATAATTAAATAATGAATTGACTAATTAATCAGTCAATTAATTAATTATATACAAATTCGTTTGCACTATCACCAAATGTTTATTACAACACATGCACATAAACACCTAATTACAAAAAATAATTTCAACAAAATAAAAAATGCAATCAAAACTGAACTCATAGAGTATGTCAATTTCTTAATTCTGACTTAAATTAGATAACCTAGTCTGTAGTTATGAAATGTACTATCAGGCTCACATGGCAGTGATGTCAACTGAAGGTAGATAACATGTACTAGTACTGTATACAGATAACAATCCATTCATATGACAGGACTTTATATAATGCCACATTGTACCACAATAATGATGATGAATATAAAGCAAATATGTTTATATACATATAGATAGTCAAATGTACCAAAGCCATGGTGATTAGGTACAATATATTATTATATACATGTACAGTATTGTTAAATCATTAACTCTCTCTCTCTCCCTTCCTCTCTCTCATTCTGTGTCTCCCTTCCTCTCTCTCTCTCTCTCTCTCCCCTCTCTCTGTGTGTCTTCCTCTCTCTCTCCCCTCTCTCTGTGTGTCTTCCTCTCTCTCTCTCTCTCTCTCTCTCTCTCTCTCTCTCTCTCTCTCTCTCTCTCT